AGCAGCTGGGGCGCCCTCGCTTCTGTGCTGCGTTCAGAGGCTGCTGGCCTCATGGGCAGGGTGGGCTCAGGGCCCTCAGCCTCCCTGGCTCCCCGGCTTGGCTGCATGCCCAATGCCTCCCACCCCCGCAGCTCTGGGCCATATCCTCGGGAGACATGCTGCTGTCCGTCTTGTTTGATGTGAGCATCACTTCCGTGACCATGGACCTGGCCGAGCACCACATGTTCTGTGGAGGTGGCGACGGCTCCATCTTCCAGGTGGACCTGTGTAGCTGGGTAAGTGGCCACTGGGGCCGAGGGACCACACTGAGGCTCTGCCCGACATCCCAGAAACTCACAGCCCGTCTCCACCCACAGCCCGGACTGAGGGAGCACAGCTTCCAGCCCGAGCAGAACACAGGGAAGGTCTTCAAAGGACACAGGTAGTCCCTTGAGCCAGGTGCGGTCAGCACAGCCCCACGCCTGGCACGGCACCCAGCCCGTCCTCCCTCCTTTCCCAGGAACCAGGTGGCGTGCCTGTCGGTGTCCACCGATGGCAGCGTTCTTCTCTCAGGCTCCCACGACGAGTCGGTGCGCCTGTGGGACGTGAAGAGCAAGCAGTGTCTGCGCACTGTCACCCTCAAAGGTGCGCATGGTGCCAGGCGCGGCCACGCCGGGTACAGGGCCCCGTACCGGCGCCTGGGCCCTAAGGTCTCGTTGTGACCCTCAGGCCCAGTGACCAATGCAGCCATCATGCTAGCCCCACCCAGCATGCTGAACCCCGAATTCCGGCCCAGCCTGCCCCTCCCCCACTTCAACAAGCACCTGCTGGGTGCCGAGCACGGCGATGAGGCCCAGGCTGGGGCCCTGCGCCTGCAGCTAGGACTCCACCTCCAGGTAGGACCCGCAGGGCCCGCACATGCTGCCCCTCGGCCACTGTGCCCCGGATCCCTTGGTGCTGTGCCTGTCCTGTTCCAGCAGCCTCGGACCCTCGCTCCCCGGCCATTGGCACCCACTGCTGCTCCACACTTGGCGCCTGTGCCCACCGTTGATCCCTGTCTGAAGGCACCCCTGTGCCAGCCCCGCTCTAGATGACGTGTCACGTTGCTGTGACCGGGTAGCAAGGTCACTCGGTTCTTTGAAGAACAGATGGGCGGCAGGAGTGGCCCACAGGCAGGATAGAGAGTTGAGGCGGCCCGAGGTCAGGAGACACTGGAACCTAACCAGCACCCCACCAGGAAGGGCCTTCTCCCCAGTGTCCTCTGGGGCACCCAGGCAGCACCCTCACGCCGGCTGTCCTCAGTGGCTCCATCTGAGCCGGGGCTGGGCCCCGTCAGGTCCTCTCACAGAAGGTGACAGACAGTCTGAGGACCTAGTGTCCAAGCTCAGCAGACATTCCCTGCCCCTGCGGTCCCACTGTGTGTCTTCCTGGATCTGGGCACTGGCCCCGTCTACCCTCTGCTCTGCAGCCTTATCGTGGCTGTCACAGGCTCCCACCTCTTGGCCCTCCGCCCTGGACTGTGGGCCTGTGGTGGAGGAGGCTCCGCTGAGGGCAGGACACAATGGGGTGACCGCCCTGCTTTGCAGGGGACTGAACAGAGCTACCTGGAGCGCCTGGAGCAGCTGCAGGGAGTGCTGTCCCGCTATCTGGAGAAGGTGGGCGGGTTCTGCGGTGGGCGGGTCCTGGGCGGGTCCTGGGCGGGTGGGTGGGCGGGCAGAAACAGCCCCACCTACTCGCACCTCTCCACACAGAACATGCTAGGCAACCAGATGATGCCAGCGCGGGTGCTGGAGCTGGAGGAGGAGGTGCGCAGCCTGCGCAAGATCAACCGGGACCTCTTCGACTTCTCCACGCGCATCATCACGCGGTCCACCAAGTGAGCTGTGTCGGCCGCTGCCGCACAGACACGGCCACATGAGCCTGTGATCAGGTGTTTTAACAAAAGAATGGACAAAGAATCTCATGTCTTGGCTGTTCTGTCCCCTGGCTGGGTGTTGGTTGGGAGACCAGGGAACATGTATACTAAGCCAGAGGACCCCGGGGGGGGGGGGAGGTGGTGGTGATTGAGGGCCTGACGAGTCCCCTCTCCCTGCAACCATCATGGGCATCCAAAGCTCAGTTTCCACATACCATCCTGGGGCTGCTGCCAGCCGGAGCCTGGAGTCCAGCCCAAATACCAACAGAACCTTCCAGAAAGCTGCCTTCAACTGACAGCTGTGCCTAACGATCCAGAAAATCCGTGTGATTTAGCAGAGCTGTCGCCGCCGCCGCAGCTCGGGAGGGTGCCAATACTGACCTCACTGGAACCCGTAATGCCCTCAGGACATCCACTTCCGGGCACCACCTGGTGGCAAGATGTGCCCGTCCCCTGAGGAACCGCAGCCTCATGTGACACCTCTGGGTCCTCAGCCCAGCACTTATCCTCAGTTTCCCCACTGAGCTGGCTCGTTGCATTCTTGACCAGACAGCCTGATCCCTTCCTCCATCCCTTGGCTTGTTCCAGCGGCTCCTGCTTCCTGCGGGTGGTTTGGGGAAGAGGCATGCACATTTGGACTTTACAGCCATGGGTCCCTTCAGACCCTTCAGATGGGTGAGGACCCATGGGTCTCCTCTGTGGGGTGTCCATTATGCTCCTGATAATGCCTCAGCTTCTGGTGGGGGATGGTGGCAGATGTGGGGTGGCCCCCTGCATTGGCATTCAGTGTTGGGTCCTTGTTCACCTGTGGCTGAGCTGAAAGACAGCTTCTGGATCCCTATACCATCCAAGCCAGGATCTCACTAGCTCAGGCTGGCCTGGAACTCAGGGTTCCCTGCCTTGGCGTCCATGCCAGGCCTTGGGTGTACTCCCTTACCTGTGCTGCCCTGGCCTCCCCCTGCTGACTGGCTGCAGCCGTGATTATCAGGTTGGGTTAGTGCCAAGCTGCGGGGAACTCCATGTCCTCAGGCTTAGGAGCAGGGGAGCATCCTGGACCAAGACCCATAGATACCCTCAGCTGGCAGGAGTGTGGCAGGGTGGAGGCAGAGACCACACCCCCAGTGCCCGTGGGAGGGAGAGGGGCGCAGCACAGGCTAGCCCCGAAGTGGGGAGCGACCTTGGGGACACCTGCAGGATTCCATGACAGGAAGTGTCCAGAGCAGGTTTCAGGAGGTCAGACACACCCCCACCTCCAAAACCAAGCCTCAAATGCAGGTTTCTCATGGTTCGGCTCTAGTGGAAGGTCCCACTCTGCCCTTCTGTTAGTGACCGTGACCTGGACAAGCCTGCAGTCCAGCTGTCTCGTGGTCAGCGGGCAGGCTGGAACGGACACCCAGGAGTGCCCACAAAAGGCAGATTTCAGAGGGGCTTAGCCCCATTCAAGGGGAAGATGGCTAGTGGCATCTCAGCCTCAGGGAGAGTGCCCTCAGGAGCTCTGAAGTGGCATGGTAACTGTGGCAACCAGGGGCAGGCTGGCCCAGGCGGGAACCCTGAAGGACCCCTAGCCTGATGTACCTTAGAGCTCTGGCCAGGAGCCTAGACAGTCTGCCACCTCAGCCAAGCTGGCTCAGAGGGAAGTCGGTCTTGGTGGCGTTTTTATTTGCTTGATGGATGGTTTTTCTTTAATGCTGGCTCTGCAAGGAGAATGAGGTTTTGGAGGGACAGCTGCGGCGGGCAGCGTGGATTCATTCATCAGGGCGAGTGTTCTCTGCAGGAGGCTGCCGTGCAGGATCTTGGGGGAATGCCCTACCTGCCCCCTGCCTGTAAGAACAGTGTTCCCAGCAGGGAGCCTCCTGGCTGCTGGAAGCCTTTGACCCCTGAGCCTTCGGGCCACACTCTGGACGACAACTGAGTCAGTTGAATTAGGGGACCTGGACAGCTGGGAGCTGCAGAAGGTTCTGGAGTGGTGGAAGTAGGGAATGTGAGCAATCTCTCGGACAATTGTAGAGTGCCTACTGTATGCAAGCCCTGAGGCACAAGAGTAACTGAACTGGTCTACCCTGGCCATCTCTGAATTCAGGTACTCAGTCCACAGGAAGATGAGCATGTGGGAAGGATAGGATGTGTGTTCTGGGTGGCAATGGTTCCCACAGCAACTGGGCACTGGGGTTTGAAGAAGAAAGAAAGAGTTGTGGAGGCCAGAAAGATTGCTCCGAGCTTAGTTCAGACTGCTTCCGTAGAGAACACAATTTTGGTTCCAAGCTGAGCAGCTTATATCCAGCTCCAATGGTCCCTGAGAGCACTGTTCTCACACTCACGGACACACACAAAACAAACAATTTAAGCCCAGCACTCTGGAGCCAGAGGCAGGTAGGTCTCTGCGAGTTCAAGGTCAGCCTGGTCTAATAAATAAGTTCCAGACCAGTCAGGGCTAGGTAATGAAATCCTGTCTACAAAGAATACTATTACTGCTGCTAATAATAACAAAAATATTTATCTACTTATTGGTTTTTCGAGGCAGGGTTTCTCCGTGTAGCCCTGGCTGTCCTGGAACTGGCTCTGTAGACCAGGCTGGCCTCCAACTCGGAGACCCACCTGCCTCTGCCTCCTTCCCCGAGTGCTAGGATCAAAGGCATATGCCACCACCGCCTGTCACTAACAAATATTTTAAAAGAGAATGAAAGCCAAGGAGATGGCTCAGTGGATAAAGACACTTGCTGCCAAGTCCGATGACCCCATTTTGATCCTCAAGGCCCACAGGGTGGAGAACAGATCCCCAAAAGCCGTCCTCAGGAGGGCTGTGGAACTCACCTTCCCCGACAAACACAAGACAGAAATACATGTGCTGGTTGGTTGGTTTGTTTTTTAAGTTTGTGATTCAAGATTGTTGCCAGGTCTGGACGAGAGATCAGCCTTACAGATTTCCGGCAGCCTCAGTTTCTCCCTGGCTGGCTAGAGGCTGCTCTGGGCGCTCCCGCCTGGCCTGGGCGGTGGAAGCATCACCCAACCCTGCCCAGCGGACCCAGGCAGCGGCCCAGCTCCTCCTTCCGTGGACGCCGGCGCCCGGGACCCACAGAGGGACTGGAGCGGGGCTGGCCTGGGTGTCCCCTCCTTCCCCCGAGATGGAGCGTGTGTGGACGCTGTGGCTCGGGCTGGCGCTGGGGTTCCCGGTGGTGAGCGCTCACCCTCAGCCCTGCGGGGTCCCCGCGCGCGCCGGGGGCTCCGTGCGCCTGGCCGCGCTCCTGCCCCGCGCGCCCGCCGCCCGCGCCCGCGTCCTGGCCGCTCTGGCCAGCCCTGCTCCTCGGCTGCCGAACAACCTGAGTCTGGAACTGGTGACGGTCGCGTCCCCCGAGCGGGACCCCGCGTCGCTGGCCCGGGGTCTGTGTCAGGTCCTGGCACCGCCCGGCGTGGTGGCCTCGATAGCCTTTCCCGAGGCACGGCCGGAGCTGCGGCTGCTGCAGTTCCTGGCGGCCGCCACCGAGACCCCGGTGCTGAGCGTCCTGCGGAGGGAGGCGCGCGCGCCCCTCGGAGCCCCGGTACGCGGGAGTGCGGGGTGGGGGAGGGCCTGGGGCGCGGGGAGGCGAGCCCCACACTTCTCCAACCCCGGGCCGGCGCTTTTCTCCCTGGGACGTGTGCCGCTCTCCTCTCCCCGGGCTTGGAGAGTGTGGGAAATCCTTTCAGGAGCTCAGCCAGCCTTTCCCTCCCTTCAGGCAACTCCCTTCCCACAGCTCTGTGGCGGCCTTGAGCCCTGGGGAGAGCAGGTCATCCCCACCTCCACATGTCCGTCCCCCGAGATGTCTTTTTGTTGTTGAGGAGGATGTTTCAAGACAGTTGCTCACTGTGTAGACCAGGCTAGCCCTGAGCACACAGAGATCTACCTGCCTCTGCCTTCCTAGTGCTGAAATTAAAGACATGTGTCATTACACCCTACTGGGTTGTTTCCTGATACGGGGGGGTCTCATGTATCTGCCGCTGGCCCTGGCCAACCCACCCTGGACCAAGGCAGGCCAGCAAAAGGGCCTCATCCAGAGATACCGACCTGCAGTCTGGCTCCCAGGTCCCTGGACACGGGTGACCTCATGTCCTCCTCTCAGGGACGCCCTAGCCCCTTAGGACTGTCAGTGACCCTGGTTCTCGGTAGGTCTGCTGGAAGCCTCCAGACCTAATCTGACAATGACCCCTGCCTGCTTCCTGGTCTGGGAACTGCGCCTGTGTGTGCTGCAGCCTTTGAGCCAGCCCTGACTCCTCTGGGCCTGGCCTGCTCCCCCCCCCCCCCCAGAGCTGTGGCACGCTCAGTACCGTGTCCCTGCCAGGCAGCACCCTATGGGGCTTAGGTGTCTTGGGCTGCTTTGTATTCCAAACACACAACACAACCTCCAGAGAACTTTCTGAATGTGCTGGGCACCAAAGGACTCCTGGGGAGGTGCGGTGGGACTAGGTCAAGACTGAAGGAGAGAGGGGGAGGGAAAGAGAGAGAGAGAGAGCAACGTGAAAGAACCAAAGGAGCTGGGGTTTGAAGAATGTCTAGGAGTTGATTTACCTGCAGAGACTTGGTAGTGTCGCTGGTAAAATGCTACATGCAAATAAAAGAAGACAAGGGAGGGCTCAAGGCTCATTTGGTACAGCACAAGTCCATCCTGCCCAAGTCCTGGACCCCATCCGAGCGCATCCTAAACAGGAAGCAGCTGTGCATGCTGGCCACCCCAGCACTCTGGAGGTAGAGGCAAGAGTATCACGAATTCAAGGCTGTCCAGCCTGAGCTATGCAAATCTCTCAAAAAATAAAAAAAGAGGGTACTGGGGAGCTACAGAAGGGCTTAGAACTGGGGTAAGCTGAAGGGGGGGCAAGATAATGCCCAGCTCTCAAGAGGCTCCCTTGACGGGGTTGGTGGATGGGCTGTGGATGCAAAGATGGACAGCCCTGACCGGACCACCCCTCCCCAGACCCCGTTCCATCTGCAGCTGGACTGGGCCAGCCCCCTGGAGACCATCCTGGACGTGCTGGTGTCCCTGCTACAGGCACATGCCTGGGAAGACATCGCTCTCGTCCTCTGCCGTGTCCGGGACCCTGCTGGCCTCGTGACACTGTGGACTAGCCGTGCTGGCCAGCCCCCAAAGTTTGTGCTGGACCTGGCCCGGCTGGACGGTGGGAATGGCAGCCTTCAGGCTGGCCTGGCCCTGCTGGGGCCTCCAGAGGGAAGGGAAGGCCCGGTGCCTGCGGCCGTCCTCCTCGGTTGCAGCGCTGCCCACGCTCGGGAGGTCCTAGAGGCCGCACCGCCAGGTACCCAGTGGCTGCTCGGCACACCACTCTCTGCGGAGGCACTGCCCACAGCTGGCCTGCCCCCTGGCGTGCTGGCGCTGGGAGAAACCGAGCGACCCTCCCTGGAAGCTGCCGTTCACGACACGGTGGAGCTGGTGGCTCGGGCACTCAGCCGCATGGCCCTTGTGCACCCAGAGCGCGCCCTGCTTCCAGATGGGGTCAACTGTGAGGCCCTGAAAACCGTGGGGTCCAAGTCGCCAGGGCGCACCTTGGCTGGGTGAGTGGGGCCCAGCCTGGGGGGAGGCCTCCAGACCCACAGCCTCACATTGTCCCCTGTGTGTCCGGGAATCCGAGGGCTGGGTGCCCCCGGAGGAACCTAGAAGACTGGATGGCTCTCCCCTCATCCCCAAGCCTAGCTCTCCCACGGGTTCCAGGCAGGTGCTTGCTGGGCGAGGGGCAGGTCTCTCAGAGTCAAGACAGTTCTGTTTTTGCTGTTGGTTTTTGAAGCAGAGTTTCTCTGTGTAGCCCCAGCTGTCCTCACTTTGAGGACCAGGCTGGCTTCGAAATCAGCGATCCTCCTGCCTCTGCCTCCCTGAGTGCTGGGATTAAAGGGGTGCGTCTCCTCGCTGGCTGACAGTTCTTGTCTGTATTCCACAGGTTCCTGAGCAACACGTCCTTCCAGGGCCACACCGGGGCTGTGCGGGTGGCAGGATCTTCTCAGGTGCTCGTGTCTCGGCATTTCAGGGTGTGGAGCCTGCGCCGGGACCCGCTGGGGGCCCCAGCCTGGGCAACGGTGGGCAGCTGGCGGGATGGACAGCTGGACTTCCAGCCGGGGGCGGCGGCCGGCCGAGTGCCGTCTCCGCCTGGTCCCCAAGCGCGGCCGAAGCTGCGGGTGGTGACCCTGGTGGAGCACCCGTTTGTATTCACCAGGGAATCCGACGAGGACGGGCAGTGCCCGGCTGGGCAGCTGTGCCTAGACCCGGGCACCAACCACTCGGCCAGGCTGGACGCGCTGTTCGCGGCGCTGGCCAACGGCTCGGCGCCCCGCCCGCTGCGGAGGTGCTGCTACGGCTACTGCATCGACCTGCTGGAGCGGCTGGCCGAGGACCTGGCCTTCGACTTCGAGCTGTATATTGTGGGCGACGGCAAGTATGGGGCCCTGCGTGACGGGCGCTGGACCGGCCTGGTGGGCGACCTGCTGGCCGGCCGGGCGCACATGGCGGTGACCAGCTTCAGCATCAACTCGGCTCGCTCGCGGGTGGTGGATTTCACCAGCCCCTTCTTCTCCACCAGCCTGGGCATCATGGTCCGCGCGCGGGACACGGCCTCGCCCATCGGGGCCTTCATGTGGCCCCTGCACTGGTCCATGTGGGTGGGCGTCTTCGCCGCCCTGCACCTCACGGCGCTCTTCCTCACCCTGTACGAGTGGCGGAGCCCCTACGGGCTCACGCCGCGCGGCCGCAACCGCGGCACGGTCTTCTCCTACTCCTCCGCGCTCAACCTGTGCTACGCCATCCTCTTCGGGCGCACGGTCTCCAGCAAGACCCCCAAGTGCCCCACCGGGCGCTTCCTCATGAACCTCTGGGCCATCTTCTGTCTCCTGGTGCTGTCCAGCTACACGGCCAACCTGGCGGCCGTCATGGTGGGCGACAAGACCTTCGAGGAGCTGTCTGGGATCCACGACCCCAAGGTGGGGGCTGGGAGAGCTCAGGCGCAGGGCCATGGGGGGGGGGGGGGGGGGGCGGGGGGCGGGGGGGGGGGGGGGGGGCGCTGGCTCAGGGCCGCGGGCGGGGTGGGGTGCGCTGGCTCAGGCTAGGGTGGCGTCCTGCGCGCTCCCTTCTCCAAAGGCTCCTACGCTAAAGCGTGGTGCTGGGAGCAGAAACCGGGCCTAGGCATGCTGGGCGCCCCGAGCGCCTCACGGGGGAAGCCGCGGCCCAGCCTCAGTCCTGACCTCGCCTCCATTTCTGAGGAACTCCCTCGGCAGTCAAGGCTGCCACCCCACTGTGTGGTAAGGCCGGGGTCTGCCGGCCCTGCCTCCCTGGTGCTGGGGTGACCGCGCACCGCCACAGCCCTGCCTCCCGCTGCAGGGGCGACAGGCGCGCGTCTGGGCTCCCCAACTATCAGCTTTCAGGACTGCGGAGCACCAGCCCCTTAGGAGGTGTCCCGCTGGCCCGCAGGCTGGGTGCTGCCCGCTGCTCTGGCCCCTGGGCGGTTGCCCGGGAGGCGGGCTGCGGGCGCGAGCGGGCGCCGCGGCGTCGGTGCGCGGTCCCCGCCGCTGAGCGCCGCCTCCCCGCAGCTGCACCACCCCTCCCAAGGCTTCCGCTTCGGCACGGTGTGGGAGAGCAGCGCCGAGGCCTACATCAAGGCCAGCTTCCCCGAGATGCACGCGCACATGCGGCGCCACAGCGCGCCCACCACGCCGCACGGGGTGGCCATGCTCACGTGAGTGCGCGCGGCGGCGGTGGGGGGGGCCCGGGCGCTCCGGCCCCGCTGACCGCCCGCCCGCCCGGCCCCGCAGGAGCGAGCCGCCCAAGCTCAACGCCTTCATCATGGACAAGTCGCTGCTGGACTATGAGGTGTCCATCGACGCGGACTGCCGGCTGCTCACCGTGGGCAAGCCGTTCGCCATCGAGGGTGCGCGCGCGCGGTGGGGTCTGGGGGGAGCGTGGGGGTCCCCGCGGGTGAGGGGGCGAGTGCGCGGGGCGGGGGGGCCCCGCCAGTGCAGCGGGCCGCTCGCCCTCCGCAGGCTACGGCATAGGGCTGCCCCAGAACTCGCCGCTCACCTCCAACCTGTCCGAGTTCATTAGCCGGTACAAGTCCTCAGGCTTCATCGACCTGCTCCACGACAAGTGGTACAAGATGGTGCCGTGCGGGAAGCGGGCGTTCGCCGTGACGGAGGTGAGCGGGGGCGGGCGCGGGCGGCAGGGGCGCGACCACCCCGGGCACGGCCTGACGCCGCTACTTCGCAGACGCTGCAGATGGGCGTAGACCACTTCTCGGGGCTCTTCGTGCTGCTGTGCCTCGGGCTGGGCAGCGCGCTCCTCAGCTCGCTGGGCGAGCACGTCTTCTTCCGCCTGGTGCTGCCGCGCATCCGCCGGGGCCACAGGCTGCAGTACTGGCTGCACACGAGCCAGGTGAGGCGGCGGGCTGCGGCGGGGGGCGGGCGGGCGCCCCCGAGCACCGCGAGACACATGTCTGCGCCCCCAGAAGATCCACCGGGCCCTCAACACCGAGCCGCTCGCGGGGCCGCAGGAGGGAGCGGAGGAGCGCAGGTGAGCAGCGGCCGGGGGCGGGGGGCTGGCAAGGGGCCGGGAGGGGGCTGGTAAGGGGCCGGCACTCACTGCCCCTCTGTCCCAGCGGCCCGGAGGAGCAGCCCCGAGCGGCCGAGGGCGCAGCGCGCTGGCGGAGGGCGCGGCGGGCGCTGGAGCGGGAGCGGCGCGTGCGCTTCGGGCCGCAGCCGGGCGAGGCGGGCCCCCCGCTCTGCCCCAACGGGCCGGGGCCGCAGGCCGAGCTGCGGGAGCTGGAGCGGCGCATCGAGGCGGCGCGGGAGAGGCTGCGCGACGCGCTGCTGCGGCGCGGGGAGCTGCGGGCCCGGCTGGGCGACGGGGCGCGCCTCCGGCCGCTGCGCTTGCTGCGGGCGCCGCCCGCGGGGAGCTGAGAGCCACAGGCCGCGCTGTCCACGACAGTTTATTCTATATACAAACACGACTCTGTACACTGCAATTAAATAGCGTGGACCGTGCGCCCCGCGTCCTGAGCCAGCTGCGTCCGGGCGCGGCGCTCGGCCCCGTGCGGGCGCCGTGTGAAGGCACTGGGGAGCACCAGGCGGCCGGGCCTCGCCCGCCGCCCGCCCCGGCCGCCTCCAGAACCTCGGCCGCCGGCCCCCTCCCTGCAGACCACAGCTCGCCCCGGCCCCGCCGCGGTTCCGCCGGGAGCCAGGCTCGACGTGGCTCAGGACCCCGCGGGCGCGGGCGCGTCCTCGGGAGGGGGCCCGGGGTCGGGGCGCGCGCTGTCGGGGGCGCCGGGGGCCGCCGGCCGCCGCTCCAGCAGGGAGGCGCTCAGCCCCGACAGGAAGGACGCGTCCGAGATGATGGCGGCCGTCTCGGCCACCCAGCCCAGGTCGCTGCCGGACACCGCGGCGGCCGCGCCCAGCGAGCCGGGCCCGGGGGTCCCGCCGGCGGGCGCGGAGCCGGGGCCCAGCGCGAGGGGCGGGCCGGGCTCGGGGGCCGTGGGGGAGCCGGAGTTGTTGTTCAGGTCGTCGGGCAGCGCCGTGGGGGTCCCGGGGCCCAGCGGCGGCGGCTGCAGCAGCATCTCCTGGATGCGGATCTGCTGCAGGATGGCGGGCAGCTCGTAGTGGTGGAAGAAATAGATCATGGAATGCTGTGGGCGGCAGGGGCGGAGGGCCCCCGGTCAGGCCCGAGACAGCAGCCAGGCCGGCCCTCCCCCCCCCCACCGCTCCCCCGGGGACAGCGGGTCGGGGGGGTCAGGGCGGCCTCACCTGGATGAAGAGCCACGAGGTGACCAGGGCCAGGCTGCTGTACTGCCCGTTGAAGCGGTAGTGGTAGGCGTAGAAGGCGAAGTGGTACAGGTAGAAGAACCTGCGCGGAGAAGCCACCCTGCCACACGGCCCGCCCCGGCCCACCCGGGCGTGGACCCCGCCCCTCGCCTGGCCCCGCCTCTCCTCATCCCCGCCCCTCGCCGACCCCGCCCTCGCCCGGCCACGCTCCCCGCCCCTCCTCCCCACCTCAGCCAGTGCCTCTTGCTGGTGTTGGTGTGGCAGCAGATGGCGTCGTACTGGTCGGCCAGCCACACGATGAGGATGATGTAGAAGGCCGTGGTGGTGTCATTGAAGAACTCGGACATGATGGCTTCCATCCCTGCGGGGACACGCGGGGTTGGCGCGGGCGGGACGGGGCGGGGGCGGGGGCGCAGTGGGGGTCCTCACCGACGAGGGCCAGGATGACGGTCAGCAGGGGCGCTGCGGGGAAGGCGATGGCCATGTTCATCTCCAGCATCTGCAGCAGGTCCACTGCGGGCACAGGGCGGCCGCCCGTGAGGGCCTGGGGAGAGCCCACCCCACCCCCGGCCGGCCGGGACTCACCGATGAAGACGAAGATCTGGTGGTGCGAGTAGCGCAGCAACATGGACACGCTGAGGGTCTGCGGGCGGACGGGGCAGGTCAGGGCGGGGCCCGGGAGCCGCCCGAAGGCCCCGCCCGGGCCGGCCACTCCCCTTCACTCACGAAGATGACCATGATGACGAAGGCCGCCAGGTAGGAGGTGCGCGCCATCCACATGCTGACAAAGCGGTAGTGCTCCCCGGACACCACGTTCCGCAGGAAGCCTGCGGGAGGGAGCCATGAGCGCCCAGGTTCCCCCCTCCCCTTCCCCCCCCTCCCCTCCCCGGGCCGCACCCTTGTTCTCCTCATTCTCCGCCAGGCCCTTCACGCTGGACATGAGGATGTCGTCGTAGCCCAGGAACTCATCCAGCAGCAGGCGGCTGAAGCGGTCCCCGAAGCACTGGTCCCGCGTGGGGTCTGACAACGGAGGGCAGTCAATATGGGTCACTCTAGTGAGAGCTGTGTAACCTCGGCCTCTTTAAAACCCGCAAAAATGTTACGGAAAGACGCTCCCATTTTAATCTCAGGTGCGGGGATCTGAGGCTGCTTCACAGCAGCGGCTGTGGTTTGCCTCTTGGTTGAGCGAGGCGTGGTTTCTGAGGAATAAATGCCAGAACCCCTGGGTGCAGTTTGTCAAGTAGTATTGTGGGGGGAAATGGAATAAGAAATTAGATATCCTGACTGACAGTGACAGTCAAACTCACCCTAAGGAACTTGACGCCCCTAATCAGCAGGAAGTAGTTTAATGATAATCCACCCCTCTCTCTCCTATTGAGTGTGAGGGGGTGATGGGTACAAGAGAAAAATGGAAGCCAGAGTAGTAAAGTACCTGACTGCCGGGCACGGGGCCAGGAAGCCTATGCAGCCGGCCTGTTCTTAGCCCCAGACCACCAGGGTGCCCGGGCTGCCTCACCTAGGGTGACCACCATGACCGGAATGCTCAGGCGCTGGCGCGTGGCCTGTGACAGCCTCAGGAAGCCGTATTCCAGCGAGTACTCCACGATGTACTCATCCTGTGGCCACACTGCAGACAGGGGCAGAGTGGTCAGCTGGTCCCCCCCTCGGCATGGCCTCGCCCCCCCTCCCTACCTGGGCGGCACACCTTTTGTTGGTGTCTCCGGGAAAGGGAAGTCCTGGCTGTCGTTCAGGGCATCGGCGCCACCTGGTGGCTCGAACACTTTGGGCTCAATGTCCAGCTCGAACTGCAGGCAGAGAAGCAAGCTGTCAGTGAGACCCAGGGGGCGTGTGACCCCAGCCTGGGTGCCCAGCACCCGCTCACCTTGATGGAGCTGTTGGTGAACATCTCCACGGTCAGTTCCTCCTCCAGCTCCAGGCCCCCTGGCTCCAGCTCCAGGCCACTTAGGCCCCCATCACAGAACTGCAGGATCACGGGTGCCCGGCTGGAGTTGTGGCGCACCTCTACCCGCAGGACGCCCTCACGCGGCCACCGATCTCGAACATGCTCCAAGCAATTGATGGGTGACCGGGAGAAGACAATGTGTATGTAGGCCAGCACAAAAAGCACAAACAGGGCCTGGGGGCGGGGTGGGGGCAGTCAGCAGGGTGGAGGGACTCTCCCTTCCCAGCCAGGGGAGGGTCTGGCTGCCTGCGCCTCCTTGGGAGGTAGCCGGCCTAGGGTCCTCTCTGCAAGGGTTCCCTGTACCGCTGCCCTCCTGCAGTCTCAGGCCCACCAGGTGCTTCAACTCAAGGCTGCCTTTGGGGACCCCGGCCTCACTGCAGCTCACTGACGGAGCCCCTGACCTCACCGGCTAAGAATAGCTACTGTCCCCAGCGAGGCACCCTCTGCCCTGCTCCTGGGACTGGCAGGAGTCACAAGGACACAGCTGACCTGCCCTGGTGGGGCCCAGGCACCTCGGCAGGACCAGGCTACCCTGCCTGGAAAAGCCAATGGCTGCTTGTGCTGGTGACCCTGCACCCCGGAGCCCCTGGGCGTGCTGGGAACATGGGTGGTTCACCCCTGGGGTAGCCCCTGGCATGGAAAGAGTGGAGGGCAAGAGCTCCACTCAACACCCTGTGGGGTTCAGGGTGCCCTGCTGGGACTGACCCCGCTACAGATGTTCAAGTACGTTTAAGAAAGGAAAAAAAAAATACACGGGCCGTCAAGACGGCTCACTGGGTAAAGGGGCTTGCCACTAAGCCTGACAACCTGGGTTTGATCCCCAGGATGGACACATAAGCTGGAAGAAGCAATCTGACAGCAGAAGCTGTCCTCTGACCTTTCCACACACACACAGCGGGGCGTGTACTCCCATATATATACACATTCACACACAGAATAAACAAAATGCTTTTTTTCCCCTTTGAGACAGGGTTTCTCTGTGAAGCTTTGGCTGTCCTGGACTCACACTGTAGACCAGGCTGGCCTCGAACTCAGAGATCCACCTGGTTTTGCCTCCCTGAATGCTGGGATTAAAGGCGTGCGTCATTACAGGTTATTTAATATTACTTATTAACCTCAAATACCCCTACTCTGGAGGAGAGTGGCTCAAGGGGTCCCAGCCCCTGAGAACTCCTCCTCCCTTTCCCTACTCAGTGTGGGGGTGAGTTCGGTCCTTAACTCAGTAGTTCTCAACCCGTGGGTCCCAACCCCTTTCATGTGAGGGGGTCACCTGAGACCACGGGAAGACACAGAAATTTCCATTACAATTCATGACATGATGGTAGCGAAATCAGCTACAAGGTAGCAACAAAAATGTTGTGGTTGGGGTCACCACAACATGAGACACTGTAGCAAAGGGTCACAGCCAAGGCAGAGAACCGCTGTCAGGTCGGGGCCAGGGGTGTGCTCAGCACCTGCTGCAAACCTCAGGGTGGCTCATGGGAAGACACGGATTTTACCTTACAATTCATGACAGTAGCGAAATTACAGTTACAAAGTAGCAACAAAACTGTTGTGGTTGGGGTCACCACAACAGGAGGGACTGTAGCAAATGGTCACAGCCTCAGGAGGGCTGAGAACGGCTGCTCTAACCCATGTCGGTGCGGGCCAGGGCTGCTGCTGTCACCTGCTGCAAACCCAGGATGTCTCACGTGGGCTGAGGGGGACCCCGGCACTCTATGGAGCGGTCTAGCCCACTTCCTCTCTGGCCCCACACACCGTAGCTCCCCACCACATACTTGCTGGCCAGCACAGGTCCTGGCAGTCTGCAGGCCCATGATAACCAGGACCCTGGTGCTGACAAGGTGCTGGCTGCCCAACAGGGGGTAGAGGGAAGGGATCATCAGGGCCAGGATGATGCCCTGCAGACCTAAAGTGTGCTTTCAACAAGGGATGACGAGACTGGACTCCCAGACCAGGCTCCTGAGGGAGCAGCCGCAGCAGGCACAACAGCACCCTCCCCACCCCACTCCACAGCCTGCTGCCCAGGTGACCTCTGCTGTCTGGTGACACAGCTTGCTCACGACTAGTGACCGGGGAGGATGCAGAGCAGGCTTGGAAGGCCTGAGACCAGGCCAGTCTGGAGCTAGACATACCTGAAGCCAACACCCACCCCTGTGAGCTGGGAGGCTCCCCCTGGGCAAGAAATGGATTTCTGTTATCAGGTGTAGTGAAGGCTGACCACCCCAGGCTAAGACCGGAGCAGCCACTCCTGCCAGTCAAGGCCAAGAGCAGGGAGGAGGGCTGTGTCCCCAGGCTCTCCCTCTACCCATTGGGCATCTAGAATCAGAGGGAGGTGGTCACTGGACAAGAGGACGTACCCTAGGTCCTGTCCCCAGTATGGCTGCTTTGGCTGGTCCACAAGTCCCCAGATGTTACCCAGCATCCCGCTCAAGCCCTAGGGCACTGCTCTCATCTGCCCACTAGCTGGCACAGACTCAGGGCTTGGTCACTCTGGCCTGGTGGGGGCTGCTTGAAATCAACACCTGCAGACACCTCAATGCCACGACCTCGGGTTCTCAGGTCACCCTGTACCCGGCAGGGGTGTCTCACTGTCACCTGAGCGATTGGAAGACATGCCTGCAGTGGCTGCAGATACTACCCTCAGCCAGATCCCCACCCACCCGAGAGTGCCACACAGCACCCTCTGTGGGAAGCTCTCCACTCAGCGCAGGGACCTAGCTGGTGCCACCATTCCTCCTTGCTCTCTGACACCCGCCCCCATCTTGGGGTCTAAAGAACCAGGTTGTGACAACCCTCTACCACGTGGTCGCCCACTTGCTGGTTTCTTAGTCCAGGCACCTGGGGACTCACACTCTAGGTCTATCTAGTTTCAATCCTTGAGGCTGCGAAGCCCGCAGAGGGGACACCAAATCCAGCAGTTCTTCCCCAGGCTTCTGTAGGAGCGGACACGCAGGAGGGGGTGGGGACAGGGTGCACGGTGCTCCAGTCATAGCAGGGCTTGGCTGTCAGGCACAGCCCCTCTAGGAAGGTTGGGCGGAAGCTGTGCAGGCAGGATGAGCAGGAAACACAGCATAAAGGCTCCCCAAAACCTCAGCAGCCCCAGAACCCAGCTGCTGTATGGCCTGTTTGTCCCGATTAAGAAAGGGCACTGGGGTCAACTGTCATCCAGCACATCCCTGTGTTTGATCAGACATCTGGCTCCCACAGCCGAGGGCGGCCACTCGAGACTCTAAGGGTGTGGAAGGCAGAAGGAGCACTGGCTCCTCTGCAGACCACAGACTGGAGACTGAGAGGACCCCCACATCTGTCATGCGCTCATGCCTGAGATACCTCTACGAAACCCTTAAAACCGTCAGCTTTGGGACAGTCCGAGGAGCCAGTCCCAATTCACCCACGCCATGGGAAAAGGCAATGTCTCCAACATCAGCACACCTGCTACCCTGCCACACCCCAACACCAGATGGCAGCCAGCTCCTGAGAGAGCTGTCATGGGCAAGAATCCCAGCGAGAGACAGTCTGGTGCCCATTCCTCTGGAGCAGCCTTTGTGACTGAGAACCCAGCGCCTCCCAGGAGCACAACAGCCAGGGCAGGTGCTGGCTATGGGAGCTTCTCAAAGACTTATGCAGGCATGAGGACCCTGGCCAACCTGGGCACTGGCTATGACTTTGTGGCTAACCCTAGTGAGGTGACCTTACCAAAGAGCCACAAAAGGCCTGGCAAGAGTCTGAGAACCATGAAGTGACAGAGATGGGCTTAGAGAACTGTCTGCAGGTGAGGCTCAGGGTACGGTGGTGTAGGAGTGACTAGGAGGGACTCTCCTCAGATGAGAACCAGGGTGGGTTGGGAATGACAGGTGGGGGTGGGCCTCTGCTACAGGAGACTGTCTACATTGGAGCCTCAGGATGGGATGGAAGCGACCATAGTGTTTGCAGTGGAGGTGCGGGGTAAAATGGGAGTGACAGGTAGGAGGGTGGACCTGGAGTCCAAGATACTGTCCCAGGAGGATCCTGGGCTCTGGTCTTCGGTGGAGAATTACGGGGCCTAGGCTCCCAGGCTGCAGAGTCAGAGGTCAAAGGACAGGAGGCGGGGCCTGAGAGTTGAGGAAGTGGGGACCAGAGGGTGCCATCTGTGAGATTGGCATCAGGGTACGCGGGCGTCAGGGACCAAGTGGTGAAGCTGTGGGAGTGGGTAGGAGGATGACAGCTGGGGTCAGAGGTCAGGGGTCAGAGGTCACCTTGAGCAGAACGAAGAACTCAAAAAGGCGGCGGAAGGCGGGTGGGAAAAGGCGCGAGTAGGTGACGGCCATCTTGAAGAACAGCGCGTGGAAGAGCCGGTCGCGCACGTTGATGAGCGGGTTAGGGTTGAGGTTGGGGCCGCGCGGGCCGCGCACGGGCGCCGCGCCGCCGCCGCCGCCCCCGTTG